CAGGTATTACCTCAGAGATAAGAGCTTTCAAAACATTACAATTTGTTGAATTCTTTTCTTTATGCTCACATTAACAAATCCACTGTTATAMCAACTATAAATACAACAATACGGTAGAAACAATACAGTAGATTTTTTATGAGCAAAGGCACAAAGATGCATTAATACTCAAACGTTCAACATCTTTCTAGTTCAGTTTCGTTTAAAAAAATTATTTTAAAAAATCACCTCTTTTTCTTTTAAAGAAAGTTTAATTTCTTCATAAAACAGAAACATTTTAGTTACCGCTATCCAGCATAACGACATGCCATGACCGCCAGGGAATGCAGCAAGTGGTCATGAAGAAAACCCCAAAGCGGCAATTAAAACTTATTAAATAGCAATGACCAAAGAAATTCAAATCCCTCAGCTCGTAAAAAGCTATCACACCAGCCGAACTACAGAAGTGCAGCAACAAAAAGAACTAAAATCACAGCAGTAAATGCTCTTTATCAAGGTTAGGTTTTTGTGGTGATGTGTACGTTAGTGCATACAAGTGTTTAGGTTTGGGAGGACAATTTTCTCAAAGATGAAAGGGACACTAAGCATAATCCATTATTGTCCATTACAGGCCATTAGTTCTCCCACAGCACTCTTAAGTGAAACAATCCTGTTTATTGATGGAAAACAGAGCAATCAGCAGAGGAGGGAGGACACAAACAAAATCAATGACGAGTCTGCACARAGAATACAAATCGGCAAACAAAGACAGGAAGTAAATACAGCGACACAGACGCCAAACAGTTTTGTATTAACCTAAAATATACCATCAAACAAAAAAATAAATAAAAGAAACATATCTGTATTCTCTACCATTCATGAGCAAATACTAAAAACACTAGAGTGAGCAGGAAGACCCCCTCCCTCCCCGCTGCTGTGTTCTGGTGCTCTCTGGCTCAGTCTCTGTGGCAAAAATGGGGGAAGGGTCTTCAGCCCAACAAAAACAACCATTGTTTATGTTTGAAGAAGCAACATATAACCTTTCATGGTTAAATATTTAAAGAATATCAGATTGGTTRTCACAAAAAAGTAAAAAAATATTGTCCAGTTGGACTTGTTGACCTGTTGAGGGGGTACCTCTACTCTCAAACAGTAACTGCTGGAGGTGGGCACCACCTCCCCATCAAATGAAAAAGCAGGTAAAGAGGACGGGATTTAGAATTTAGCCATTTAACAATTGGTCTAAATTAATAATAAATTGTAGAAACAAGATGAAAATTTCTTGAAACTATCTTTTTGTTGTTGCTGTGTTGGTTAAACTAAAGTTAGCTGTCATTACAGTATCAAGTTGAAGACATGAAGATATGGTAACAATTCTGTACAATCAGTTTCTGATTTTATGGTTTTCCACCAATGAATAACTTTTATGCAAGAGGCCAAAATACAAACTTGAACTCCAAATCTGATCRTTGTAAATCTACAATGAAAAATTAAAAACAGGGTGTTGTGTATTTCCAGTATTTTTAATTTGTGTTTTATTACATCCCACTTAATGAGCCAGCTCACATCATCTCTCTGCAATGCCAGTAGGGGGGTAAAGATGGCATTCATAAAAGCCAGCAGCAGAGATAGTCATCACACTGCCAGCCAGACCACATTCCCCTGAGCTTTCACACATCAAAACACACCCTCATGCACTCAGAGGCAGTGCTCAYGCCGACAATAGGTCTGCATTTCAAAAATGTGCGACCTGTTCATTCATTTTAAAACAAACCAATGGTAAATTACTAGTTTGGCAAAAAAAAAAAAAAAGAAGCCTTTTTGCACACAAAAAACTTTAATCTTTTTCCATAACAACCCAAGAAATAACACCATTAGCCAGATATGAAGCAGCTTATTCAACATTTTTTTAAACTTCAAGCTGTTTTCCCAATATAACTATTTCTTTAAGTAGAATATACATTAAAAGGTTAGGAGTTATTAGAGTTATTAATATCATTATTTAAATGTATTTCAATTAAAATCAACTCAAACCAGGCAAAAATATTTGATCTGTGCACCTGATCTTAATGAGCATTACCTGTGAGGCCTACCATACTGACTCCCTTTAAACAGATTAATGTTTTCTAACAAATTTTGCTCGTTCATAAAAAAAAATGAAGCCATTATGTGAGGCGCTGCTATTGGAAAACCTCAATCTATAAATAACGGCACAGAACCTCGGCTTGTTTACACCTCCCACTGCAGCTTAACAGTTTGTTGAGAGTACAGAAGTGCAAGGAAATGCTCCTGTTTCAGAAAGGTAAAGTGGAATTATAGATTTCATTTCACTCACTCCCAGGGGTCAGGCACACTTAATGTCAAATATAGTTTAATTAACTATTTGCTGAATGCTTTTGAGTTAACTTTAATGTATATGGAAGAGGAATATTTAACGATAAATGGAGTGATAGACCTGTGACTTTTCTGCTGTTTAATTCAGTCAATTCTCTTCACCGATGATGGAGAAGAGGACGCCTGATTCCTGCTGTTCAAATCTGAGTTATAGCGTATTGGATCACCATAGGAACAGGCGGATTCACAGAGCTGTATTTCTCATCTTACATGACGATGCATCTTTACCTTTTTTTCTACTCTTTGCTTTTGGCTCTTACAGGTTCCCAAAATTAAGATAAATGAGCAAACATTCTGCTCCTTTGCCCATGCCTGGAGGCAACAAATTTAAACATAATTAACATTAATTTGAACAGTGAAACTGTTAGATACAGTACAAGTATAATTTATCCCTGTAGGAAAAACAGCTGCTATTTACAATCTTTGAACAGAAAAAAAAGGCTTTAATTTCTATACTTCATACTTTAAATGACCATACTTTAGGTGCCACAAAAACAGTACTAGAGAACTGTTTGTTCAAAAGGCTATTGAAGTTTTAGTATGTAATATTGGTAATTTATACTCCAGGAGACAATCGGCTGCAACATGTCCACCAACTCAGAGTGAACTCATCTCTTTAATACTTAAACTGAACTTACAAGATCATTTTTTTTCAAACACATGTTCACTCAAAGACAAAATGACACTTTATAGAGCCTCTGTTCTACAGATATATCTCAGAAGGTGATTAATGAGGACAGAGACATTGCCTGAACATCTGTTGACAGAAGCTACACAGAGGGACGCAAGAACTGTACAAGTCCTTATATGGCACACATCCAGCACACGCTTGTAAATTCATCCTTACTGGACAGAACAAGGACGAAAGAAGCAGGTTCCTTCCTCTGAAKGGAGAACACAAAGAAAAACGGCCTCGGACTTTACCATCTTTAAAAAATGTGACTTTAAAACAGAGCAGTAACAGCCTTATTTACTGCATCGTTAACAAAAACACAAAGTTCAGAAATGAGATAARTAATTGTGATACTATACTTGCAACAGTTGTAAAACTGTAACATATTGTGTTTTGACCAGTCAGTCAAAAAACATGAGACATCATTTTTGGTTTGTTAAATCCTTCCACTTCCATGTTACAAACTTGACTTGCACAGACTGGTTGCTAGTTTAAAGGTAAACCATGAGGTTGAAAAGTCATGGATGGCATGGGTGTATTTATTTAATTTCCTCTCTCTCTGTTACTGGCATTTCTGTTTTTACGTATATACCTTGTATACAGTTTACCAATATTTTCAGCATAAGGTTGTTTATTTTTGTTTTTGCAGAACAATCGGTGGTGATTTTAGGAAAGAGAGAGATGTCATCAACAAAAGCAAAATGATGTCAATAGCAAAGTCAATTCAACAATGCTTTAAATATATAGTGGACACTACAACCTACTGTATACAAAATCAGAAAGACAGATTTGGGTATACTTTATGGAACTGTGCTCAGACTGTGTGTCTTGAACAGCTGATGCAAACGTGCAGTTAAAGTCTACTTTATAGTGAATTCATGTAGCTGCAGAGAAATCAGGAWGGAGATACCACCTTCTGCAGGGGCCTTGTCACAACAAAGCTAGTAAACAGTCACATTGACTTGTGCTGATATTACACAGTGTTAAAAAAAGGTTTCARTTTGACACAAATTCTGCTAATCAAAAGGTAATGCTCCAACCTTACTCCACTCAGATTTATTAATCATGTTATCAGTCACAACAGAAGTTGCATCTGTGAGCTGTTTAACATTACCTCCGTGTTGTTTTCTACATCAGTCTAATACATTTTACTTTTTTTACTAGTTAGATATTCAGAACACTAAGCATACAGGAGAAGCCTAACGGTTTCAGAAAAAGAGGCTTAAGATTGTTAAAGAGGGTGAAAACTAAGTAACTTCCTTCTGACTAAAGGTGATTAAAATTCCTGTCTGACCTCAAACATTAGCTCCTAAAACTTACTGGAGGTGCGTTTCACAGGATTTTTATTTTGCACAGGCCTTCACAACAACCTTTTAAAATAAAGTTATTTTAGCTTTCATGTCCACCAACTCAGCATCTCCTCCTCAYGAGTTTTCCTAAAGGCAGGGTGCTCCCCCCCTTCAGTTAAATTATTTTAAAACATAGCTACCTCTGTTAACTCATCACTAATCAAATAATCAAACAACTGTCTCTGGGCTTCCTGAGTTTTAACAACGTGCTGAGACAGAGAATATGAGACAAACTGTCCAGCCAGCACAAATTGTGCCCTGTAAGGCATGACAGCTGGATTTCAAGCAATTGTGCAGGAGGCAAGAAAAATGTTGAATCATTGCAGCCACTTGATAAAGACAGGAGACGTCACATCCAGCCGAGTCCTGTCCGGCTGACAGAAGACAGAGCGTAGCAGCTTGGCCACTGTCAGCTGGCTATATCAGGAATAATAGCTAACCCTTTTACTCCCTCACGTCTGCTGAAGTCAGATTTAAATTTATTCAGAATATTGTATGACTTATCACAGGTGATATAGAGTGATTGTCAACATCATTTTTTAATTTGAGCCAGACAAAACACACACAGAACAGTGAGGGGAAAACAAATAAATTAAGTGTCTTACCCCTCCTCCTCGCCGTCTACAGTCCTGAGACCAGCTGGTGCTGTTAAGGCACTGGCGTTGGCGGCATTGCCTTCAGCTTCTTGACCCTGGCCAGTATTGGCTCCAGCCTCCCCGCTGGAGGGTAGCCCCAACAAAGCGGACTGATGCTGGAGGAGCAGCCGCTGGGCATCCTGCAGCTGTGTGGTGGTGAAGCTGGGCAAACTGGCGTACAGGGCGCTGGCCTGGGCAGCATGAGACAGGGCCTGGGCACTGCTGTGGTCCTGGGTCAAGCTCACAGAGGAAGGCTGGGGCATCCGAGCAGCATTACCGACACCGTGGGCTTGGGGCTGATGATCGTTCTGAAGGTTGGAAGGAGGCACACTTGGGGCGGCCGCTTGGCTCTGATGGGCGGCGGCGGGGAGCTGGCTGTTCAGGCTTGGGTTCTGAATTTGCGTTGGGAGAGATTGGGGCTTCTGCTGCTGACTATCCATGAGACCGAGACCTGCTGCGCCAACATGAGAAGGCAAACCAGAGGGTGGCTGTGTGTGAAGGAGCCCCTGAGATTGCTGAGGGCCTCCTATCATTTGAGAAGCTCCATTAGCCAGTCCAGGAGGTGCTGTGACAGCTTGGGTGGGAAGAGGCTGAGAGGCAGCAGCTTGTGGCTGGGCATACTCAGGTGGCCTCACCGATACAGGAGGTGCTGAAGGGGGAGCAGACGACTGCTGTGGGAGGCTGGCGTAGCCTAATTTCTGCTGCTGAACACCCACCAAGCCCTGGGAGGCAGCTGTGGGTTGATTAGCAACTGCCTGGGCATAGGTGAGCTGCTGCTGGGGTACGGCAGGAGTGGGGAGGCCAATCGTGGTCATGAGTGCAGGTTGATGGAGGTTTGTAGGAGCTGGGGTGGCTCCAGTAGTCTTCTGAGTTTGCATGTGAGACTGTGGTTGAGATGCTCCCATACTTAAGCCACTGGGAATGATTCCTTGATAGCCCTGAGGAGGGGAGGTGTAATCCTGGGCATGCTGGGGTACCGGGGGTCCACTAGCATCTCCCATGATCTCAGTGTAATGGCTCACTGTACTACTCACAGAACTACCACCTGCGCTTTCCTTCTCCGAAGCTCCAGYGGAGCTGTCTGGGATGAACTGGCGTGTGCTGAAGGAGAGCGTGTCAGACGTGGACGTGCCAGGAGCAGGGGCTGGCGCCTCCTTGTCGTAAAACTCAGCGCACGTCCACCTGCCCTTCTTGAAGGGCTCAGAGCTGGAGTCCAGCTTCACTACCCTGAAGCGAGAGCCGGTAGTAGCCACAGCAGGAGCAGATGATACGGGAGCCTGAACCACAGCTGTTGCAGGAGCACTGGCGGGATGCGGCGCAGCTGATCCGACTCTTCCCTGGACCCCGCTGGGGACTCCCACGCCTCCAGAGGCACTGACAGCCGCAGCTGCAGTAGTCATAGCCGTCATGGAGCCGACGCTTTGCTGTTGCTGGATTATGTTGACGTTAGCGGCGGACATATGGTTGCCTCCGGTCAGAACAGCTCCAGCRCCACCACTCCCTCCGCCGCTGCTGATCACATTGGGAAGAAAGACACCACTGCTGCTGCTAGCACTGGTCCCCCCACTAACAGGCACATTGGCAGAGCTCAACGTATTCACCTTACTAACACTGCTGGTCTGGGGATTAGCTATACTAACTGTATTTCCCGCTGCAGAGCTGTGCATTCCAGGGGCAGATCCCACAGGCTGAGAGACAAGACTCGGAGGGGCAGCATGGGAAACATTCTCTTGATGCCCCCCAACGTTCGAAGGCATTTTCTGAGTGAGAGAAGGTAACGGTCCCCCAGAAGGGAGGGGAGATGGGGTGCTACCAGACCCAGAGGACAGAGGGAAGCTCTGGGCATGGTTAGGGTGGTGCACAGTCCCATTCACGATGGCCCCACCATGTTTCTTCACTTGGCTCAGGTTGTGGGGTTGTGTCAGGCTGTGCGAAGGCTGGTTGGGGGAGACAGCTCCGGGGGTCTCCGCCTCGTGGAAGTTATTGAGCGTCTCCTCCGAAGAACTCCTCTCCGCCCCGACGTCGTTAGCTCTGGAGAGGGACACGTCCAGGATTTCGGACGACGACAGATCCTCGGTGTGGGACTCGTCCAGGTCGTCGTAACTCTCYGTGTCCTCTGCAATACTGTTGTTGGTGCTGACAGACACCTGTGCTGGAGTCACACTGGTGATCTGGAAACCACTCTTCTTCTTTATCTGAGCTCCAGCAGACTGCGTGGGCTGAAGGTTCAGGTTGTGGGGTGGAGGAGGAGGATGGTGGGGACTCGGAGAGGATGAAGCAGCGGGAGGAGGCTGATAATCGTCGTGGCTGTTATTGACCACCGGATTCGCCGGTGTTGACAGCGTGGGGCCGCTCCCGCTGCTCGTGTTGCTGCCCCTTCTGTGAAAGACGACCGGATGCGCCATCTTTCTAACACCGCCAGAGTCTCCTGCAGAGTCCGGATGGTGCATTTCGAGGGGATCCGGGCGGYAGTTGGTTTCCGACAGTAGGCAGTAAGAATGCAGTTCGTTGACGGCGCCGTTTTGCCAAAACTATGCTTTACAGACAACCCAGTTAAAAAAAAAGGTTAGGGGTGAGGGGTATATTGATTTGTAAGCGAAGTTGGTGGCAATATTAGCAGCCTTCTCATGCACGATTTCCCTGTGTCAGTTAGCAAGCCAACTAAAGCTAGTGGCCGCTTGCTCAGCAGCTAATCGAGCTAGCAGCGTCAGCTGATGCAGTTCGCCGGCTAACTGTCCGTCTGAGCCGTGGTTAACACAATAGTATCCCAAGTATTTCGAAACAATAACGCAGTGTTTCACTAAAACACAAGCGGTGAAAGCGTGAAGCGGCCGCTCAGGAAGTTGTAGTTATTTTAAACTACTAGCTTGTCAGCACGGAGCTAGCTTCCAGTCTCCATCACAGTCGTCAGTGAGTAGGTTTTTAACTGCAGATTTCACTCAAGTCGATCAAAATTAAACAACCTTCACCCGGTCCGCGGCGAGCCGAAAGCGATACGATCACTTGAATGGCGAAGAACAAAGGTTTACGTCCATTTCACCGAGTCCTGGCTGTAGGTTTTGCTGTATCACTGGTCCTCTCCCAGGCGGTAGCGTCGTTCAGTAGAAAGCCTGCTGCTCGGCTGTTGTGACCGGACCGGAGAGGAGGGGTTGCTCCGTAATATGGCGACCGCGCATGGTCTCTGCTGCCAGACATAAAGCAGTCTGGGCGAGGCGGCGCGAGCTCCAACATCAACATCGGCGGAAAGTGCCGAAGCTGGACGAAAGGCTACGAAGTGTGCCGGAAAGTGTCGAGTGAAGGCGCTGCCTTTTCAGTCGGTGAATTCATCTTTCTATTAGGAGAAATGTTATTGTGACCTATTTTATGTACAAATTACGTGAATTTAAATACGTTTTTAACAATAAATGCGTTCAAATACTTATAGCTAAAGTTACTAATTGCAAACTATAAAATAGCATAAGATTACTCTGAGTAGCTTTCTTTCCAGCTATATTGAAATGCAATTCTGAAATGTGGGTATGCACTTAATCTGGACTAAACAAACGAAGATGAATATGCAAAACTTTTGAAATCTATAAGTAAATTTGCTGTAAAATTACCGGAGACAACACTAAAATCCATTCAGAAATATGTGAAGTGCAGAATTTCATAGCTCAAATTTGTCTCGTCTGTTATGTTTTCCAGGAAAATGCACCCCAAACCTATGCAAATAGATTAAAAAACTATTTGCATATTTTACCTAACAAATTCCAGTGCAAACTGCAAACATGTAAAAAACAGGTTGATCTATGATTAGTAGTTATAGCTGTCATTTCTAACAAAGATAACCTGAGTAAATACAAAATGCAGTTTTCAAATGACTATTTATTAAAGACATAAAAATCTACTCAAGCTAACCTGAATACCACCTATATCTGTGTATGGTTCCCAGTTTCCCTTAAGCTTCTTCAGGCGTTATGGAGTTTTTTCAACAATTTTCTTTGGGCTTTAGCTGTTTTTGTAATTTTTCAATTTCATATTTCATTCCTTTAGCCCAGTACCTGACCATTTCTGAAGAACAGGTATTTTGCTTGTTTGTTAAGCCACTCAACTCTGATCTATGAATTATTCAAGCAATGAAGCAGTATTGTGTCTACACATAAGAGACAACCTCAGCAAAGAATCTGCTTGAAATTGGATCTTTAGGCACTTTGTTACCAACAGCCAATCACAAAGACACAATTCGTTCTCACATTTTTAGTTAAATCTATGAAAAATAGCACAGTAATGTAGTTTGACACATACGCAAGTGTAGCTACAAGTGGCAATTTACTGATTAAACATGATTATCAAGGTAAGCTGTACCTTTCAAGGTGACCCAACATTTATTTTTAATATTGGTTAAACAGTTTTCTTCCTTTTTTAAGCAAAGATTACATTTTGTTTTACCACCTTTGTGTAACAACAAAAATAGTCACATCTTCCATTTGGCTGGTTCCAAAAGTTATCAGTTGTAGATGCACATCTGATCAATATTTCCTGGAATCCAGGGGTTCATGTGATTTTTTTTGTTACCAAAACAAACACATGAATTCACACCTTGTATTTTGGCGTGGGCAATAAAAAAACAAAGCTGTTGATTGAATTGTAAATCTTTACTGAGAGGTGTATGTACAGCATTCTGGTGTTGTATATATATCACAAACACAGGAGACCAACGTCATGGAGGCCGTGAATGGCTGCAGAGGACTGAGAACAACATCAACACACCAGTGTTTGTGAAACAAAGGTGGACAGAGAGCTGCTGGATCCCTCTGCAGACACAAGTGTTGACCTTACTGAAGGATTTTTCTACACACAGGTGGCGAGTGGGGCCTCTGGTCCGCTCCCCATATGTGCCAGAGACAGAGGCTGGGAGAAACGGACATGTTTGTTGGACTCTCATGTTGTCCCTGCAGGTCATTGAACTCCAGGGTTTAAACTGGTCGAACAGATTTATCTCAGTTTGCTTTCTGGTGTTTTCTGATGATCGCTGGATCATTTCTGTTCTGTATCCTCAACTCAAAACATACTGAAAGATAAAAAAACATCATGCTTCACCCTCTGTATTTGTCACTTATCTGACAGAAAACAGCTAATTATGAATRGCCAACTACCACGTTTGTTTGTTTACCTACAGAAACAGCCAAAGCGACTGAAAGAGGCCTTACGTCGCAGGTGAAGAGCTGTGAGTGTGTCACACAAACCTAACCTACTCTTTACAACGAGCCTAATCATACCATAATAAAGAGTGACAAACACGTGGATTAAAGGCTTCCGCGTTTAAAAGCCGCGTCATTAGAGAAATTGCACTGATAGAAAAGCACAGTCAGCACAATGAATTAAACAAAGCAGTAACCTTAGCTGTGCACCCCTGAGGGATGAGTGAAAGGGAAACGTGAGAGCGGCTGGTGGAAATACTGCAGTTAATAATGAAGGAGAGAGTCTAAGATGGCACGACTCGCGGTCAAGTTTATTGAAGCAAGGTTCAAATCTATGGTAAGCCCATGTGTATTTATTTGATATCCTTGATATCACGTGTCATTTTCACTCACTAGTTTGCAAACTGCACTGTACTAGTTGCACATTTGGTCAGTGCATACTCTTAGTAACATTTTTGTAAACTAGGGCTACTTTTGCTCAACTAGCTGTAGCGGAATTCATAATAATCAGCCTTTTTGCCTCCATAGTATTTCAAATGTCCCATCTAGTTGGACTTTAAACACACTAGTGGACCACAAGGCTAAACTGGCCAATGATTGTGTTGTGCAAATCAATTATTAAGCACAAAAAAATCCTTCAAGTTAACTACTTAACACATTTATGCATGCTAGTGTCAAATGCACACACTGCTTCACTTGTTTATACTTTTTAGTTGCAGTAGTAAACTAGTATGGACTAGTGAGCATTTTGGGAGCAAGTAAACTAGTAAGGCCACATTTAATGTCAGGAGTCAACTAGAGTAACTAAAACTGAACTTCAGACTTAACTAGTCAACACTTTAGATGAAACAATTGACAGACTTTAGCCACTCTATTTAACTAGTATGACTAACAAGCTCTAACTAGTTGACTAGTGATCATTTTGGGGGCTACTAGTCATCTAGTAAAACCAAATTTAATGTCACTAGTCAACCAGTGAGGATTTTGAGGGCTACTATACAACCAGTAAGGCCAGACTGAATGCCACTAGTTAACTAGATCAACAAAATTTAACTTTACAACTGGCCTTTCAACTTAGCTAGTTAACTTTTTAGATAAAACAGTTTTTAAATTTTAGCCACTCTAGTTAACTAATATGGAAAAAAGCTTTAATTAGTTAACTAGTGAGCATTTTGGGGGCTTCTAGTCAACTAGTAAGACTAAATTTAATGTCACTAGTTGAATAGAGTAAATAAATCTGACTTTTACTACTTACCTAGTTAACACTTTAGATGAAAGAACCGACATATTTTAGTAGATCATTTTGGGGGCTACTCGTCATCTAGTAAAACCAAATTTAATGTCACTAGTCAACCATTGAGCATTTTGGAGGCTACTACTCAACCAATAAGGCTAAATTTAATGCCACTAGTTAACTAGATCAACTAAATTTAACTTTACAACTTTACAACTTAGCTAGTTAACTCTTTAGATAAAACATTTTTCAAATTTTAGCCACTCTAGTTAACTAATATGGACAAAAAGCTTTAATTAGTTAACTAGTGAGCATTTTGGGGGCTTCTAGTCAACTAGTAAGAGTAAATTTAATGTCACTAGTTGAATAGAGTAACTAAATCTGACCTAACAACTTATAACTTTAGATGAAACAATTTACCTATCGTAGCACTCTAGTTAACTAGTATGAATAACAAGCTCTAACAAGTTGACCAGTGATCATTTTGGGGGCTACTAGTCATCTAGTAAAACCAAATTTAATGTCACTAGTTAACTAGATCAACTTAATAAAATTTTACAACTTTATAACTTAGCTAGTTAACACTTTAAACAGTTTTCTGACTCTAAAATAGACAAAAACTTTAATTAGTTAACTAGTGAGCATTTGAGGGGCTTCTAATAAACTAGTAAGGCTAAATTTAATGTCACTAGTCAACTAGAGTAACTAAATTTGACCTTAAAACTTAACTAGTTAACATTTTTGATGAAACAATTGACAGACTTTAAACTCTAGTTAACTAATATGACTAACAAGGTCTAACTAGTTGACTAGTAATCATTTTTGGGGCTACTAGTGACACCAGTTTGACGATGAATAACGTCGGGTGACGATGAGTCTGACTTTTTTTTTTCACATTGGACACCACCAGGAAGAAATTCCATGCAAACTGCCTGCTTCAATGTTCGCTACGTCAGAACTTATTCGGCAAATATGTTTCCATCTCTGCTTTTGCGCATTAACTCTTACAGGATGGGGGAAATTGGTGTTGGCGGAGGTTTGCACTCTCCGAGTGCTTCTAGTTATGGTATAGAACTTAAATACAGTATATGCTTGAGAAACACATAATCTTGCCCCTTTATTAATTATGTTAATTTAAGTCCCCCATGTAACTCCTGTGGGACCTGATGTAGGAGCTATTTTAATATTTACAGTGAAAATGATTAATCTGTTGTGTGGACTCTCATGTGTGTTTAAAGATGACTTTCGGCTAAATCTTTGTCCACAAACATCACAAGGAAATGGTTTGTCTCCTGTGTGAACTATCATGTGAGCTTTTACACCATTTTTTCTTGCAAATTTCTTATCACAGTCATTACACTTGAACAGTTTTGGTTCTGTCTGGTCTCCTAAATGACTGGACATGTGTCTCTTAAGAGATCTGTTGTTGACACACTGATTACCACACTCAGAGCATCTCACAGATTTTCTGACAGTCTTCACTCCTGATTCAGGAGCTCTTCTGTTCTTCCATTCTTTGTTCCTCTCTTTAGTTTTTTGCACAGAAACTGACAAATTCTTCAGCTGAGAATCAGGATTGTTCACATCCTCGTCATCTTTATAATTGTCACTGAGTTCAGTCTCTGAAGAGCAGGAACAGTTTTTGTAAGTATTTCCATCTGGGTTACTGGTAGTTTCAGGTCCTCCACAGTCCTCTTCATCAGTTGCTGTTTCCTTCTGACCAGCTGAGCAGCAGGATGGAAGATCTCTGCCCTCCAACTGGTGCTGATGTAGCTGTGAGAACAGAGGCTTCTCTTCATCATCTTCACTTTTAAAAGGAACTGCAGTGACTGAAAACCTGGTGACATCAATCTCCTCTTTCACAACTTTGTCTCCCTCCAGACTGGGCCGGGGTTCCTCCTCTTCCTCTTTTAATTTGAGGGGTTCTGGATCTGACTGGTCCACACCAGGTATCCATTCTTCTGAAGGTTCTACTTTAATCAGCGCCATCTGTTGATCCTTTGCAGGGACTAATGAAACACAGGGATATCAAGGACAACATTATCTTTATATTCACACATTCATCATTTCTGTTGTTGCATTAAGTAAACAGGGTTCACTG